AATCATCAAAATACATCCCCGAATCTGGTGTCACAAGTGCACGAGCTACTAGGATAATACAAAAAAAGGTCTGAATAAAATTTAAGCTGTTTCAAAGATAATACATAGCTAAGATAAGATAGAAGGGGACTTCAAAACTGCGGATGTTGTGCAGTTATACCTCAAGTCTCCTCTGAGTAGTTGGATCCGAGCAAGTCTATGGTACTCCACTGGGACCAAGTCTAAAATCTGCACAAGAAGTGCAGAGTGTAGTATGAGTACAACCGACCCCATGTACTCCGTAAGTGTCGAGCCTAACCTCGACGAAGTAGTGACGAGGCTATGACAAGACACGTACGTAAATAACCTGTACAAGTATGTACACATACGAAGCAATAATAGCACAATAAATAATAATTTATAAAGGGAACATGCGAATGGGGATGATATAGTAATTTCAGTAGGAGAAGTGTCACGTAGCAGCCAATTAATTTATCAACAATAAAATGAGCAGTTGATAATATAAAAATGGCACGGAACCACCCTTCGTGCTTTTACTCTCATTCTCCCATAAATTTATAAATAAATAAAAAGATTGGCACGGCATCACCCTTCGTACTTTAACTCTCTTTTGGCACGGCATCACCCTTCGTGCTTTTACACTCTTCCTTACCATAAAAATAATAATATAAATTCTGAAGAGTATTAAAATGCGGGGATATATATACTTATCAATCAATTCAGTAACAAAATACCGACCTCACCTTCCAAAATATTCAACAATAGTTTCATGAAAAAAGATCAAATAAATAATAATAATAATAATAATAATAATAATAATAATAATAATAAAAAAAAATTAAGCAGGAATATCCTAATTAAATAGGCAATTATTCAAAATAAACAAATTCTACCCGCATGCTTTGACTCAACCACAACACATAAGTACTCATCACCTCATATATACGTTATACCCGCATATTAAATCACGTAGCAAATAGACAAATAAGTCATACTCCCTCAAGTCAAGGTTAACCACGACACTTACCTCGCTTTGCAACCAACTCAAGATTCCACTAAACTTTGCCTCACGAATTCGTGTCTGAAAGCTTCAAATATAGTCACAAACAATTCAATATACTCAACACGAATCGTAGGAATTAATTCCATATGAATTTATAAATTTTCTGGATTAAAATCCAAAATTTATTTTAAAAATCTATAGTGGGATCCACGTCTTGAATCCCGAAAAAACTCACAAAATCAGAACACCCATTCCGAGACAAGTCCAACCATATACAAATTATCAAATTCCGATGTCAAATGGACCTTCAAATCCTAAATTTTCGTTTTTGGAAAGTTTTACAAAAATTCCAATTTCTTCCATCTAAATCCGAAATATACAATGAATATAGACACTGACTTATGAAATATAATCACTTTCGGGTATAGAACACTTACCCAAGTCGAAATCGTGAAAAACTCCTTTGAAATCGCCCAAATCCGAGACTCAAAACTCAAAAATGAGTAAAAATGGCTAACTCTCGATTTTATGGGTTCTGTCTAGGCTTTTTCGCATCTGCGAGTTCACATTTGCAAGAAAAATTTCGCATTTGCGAATTGAGGCTGCCAGGCGAAATTCCGCATATGCGGACTTCAATGTCGCACCTGCGACATCGCAGAAGCGACCAAACGACCGCAAAAGCGGTCTCTTTCGCAGAAGCGCTTGGGCCTTCGCAGAAGTGGTCGCGCATCTGCGCCTCATTTCTCCGCAGAAGCGAAGGAGCTGGCCGGTGCCCAGGTCGCAGAAGCGACCAGCTTATCGCAGAAGCCACCAGCTTCGCGCAGAAGTGGTTGCGCATCTGCGGCTCCTTCTTCGCAGGTGCGAAACACCAAAACCAGACCTGCATATTTTTACAAAAATAATTTGAAACACGTCCGAAACTCACCCAAGCCACTCGGGACCTCGTCCAATTATACCAACTAGTCCCGTAATATAATACGGACTTACTCGGGGTCTCAATTCACATCAAATAATATCGAAATTACAATTCACACCTCGATTCGAACTTTTGAGTTTTAAACTTTTTAATTTACAAAACTCGTGCCGAAACGTATTAAACGAATCCGGATGACTTCAAATTTTGCTCACAAGTCATAAACGACATAACGGAGCTATTCAAATTTTCAGAATCAGGTTCTGACCCCGATATCAATAAAGTTAAATTCGTGGTCAAACTTTGAAATTTATAAGCTTTCAAACTTTCAATTTTCAACAAATAGCGATAACTCAAGTTAGGGACCTCCAAATTAAATTTCGGGCATACGCCTAAGTCCCAAATCACGATACGGGCCTACCGGAACTGTTAAAATACTGATCCGGGTCCGTTTTCTCAAAACGTTAACTGAAGTCAACTCAAATGANCTGAAGCTCTGTAGCATCAGAAACCACAACTTTCCCATTGTAAAATATTGTTAGCTGTTGCTTCTCTTCTGTGCTCTGGTTATTCCTCCTATAAAAGGAAAGAGAAAAGTGAATATTCAATACCGTATGCATATTTACGGACTAATCCATAAAGATTGGCATTTTTTATATGCTATAATTATTCCATATATGCATTTGTATTTTCTATTATATGATCAGTGATATTAGAGAAAAGGGGAAATATTTGAACTTTTCAGAACTCCAAACATAAATAGATAGAAAGAGAAAGAAAGAGAGAGACTCACATGGAGAAGTAAGGGGTCGTAGTGCAATCTTTAGGAGAAAAAGAAACACAAGGAGGGACAAGCCTTAGTTCCAAGTTACAGTTTCTTCTCATCTTTATTCAACTTCAGCCACAGATACTACTACAGATCAAAAGTTGGTAAAGAATGGATCTCTGAAGAAGGTTCAATGAAAAGAATATACTGTATTAATTAATGAGTCAAGAACGGAAGTTGGAAACAAGTTAAAGGATATATATATAGGAGAGAATGAAGAAGAAGAAAGGGACTTTGAATATGTACACTACTTTAAATGGTACTACGTAGTATTTTAGATGGTGGAGTTGGGTGTGGGGGTCAAGGACTGGATTTAATATAGGAGTAGTTGATAAAATAGACGCTTCAAACACGAATCTCACACTTCCATAAATAAATAGAAAAGGTGTAAAAGAATATGTACAGAAAAATGGGCTTCCCTCACACACAAACAGCTGTTAATTACATGTGATACATGAGGTTTTTTCATATTTATTTCACTCCTATACATAATACAACGCCAACTTTATTCTGCGGTTTATGCGCTAATTTTGCGTCTTTATTATAGTGTTCCATGCACGTTTATCAGTCGGCCCGCGAGCTTTCCTTATTCTCCGTTTTAATTTATTTTGACAAAAAAATGACTTTTGAAATTTAAGGTTCACTGATCATATAATAGAAAATCATAATATTTTCTTAAGGGTAGAATTAGGTTCACTGATCATATAATAGAATTGTAAGATCATAATATTTTTTTAAGGGTAGAATTTAAGGATAGAAATTTTGTAGGATCATAATATTTAGTTGGTTATAAAATCTTCTTATTAAGAGTAAAATTAATAAAATAAAAGGTTCACAATTAAATTATTTTTAAATATAAAAATATATCATTCTTTTACAACGCACTAATAAGAAAAGTGTCAAATAAATTAAAACATATGAAGTATTTATTAATACTCTCTCTATATCATTTTATGTGGTGCAGATTGAATAGGCACGAAGTTTAACAGAAAACATATTTTTAAATATTTGTGATCTAAAAAAATAGATAATATTTATATGGCTATAAATTATTATAAGAATAAATTAAAAAATTTAAAATTATATTATTTTTATATATAAAAAAGTATCAAATTCATTTTTTTTTTTAAAGATAAACCATAAAAGAACACGCATTACATTAATTGAGATAAAAGAAATATTTTCAAATTTATATTTGCTAAAGTTCTTTTAGAAAGAACAAAAGGTTGGAACGTATTCGACATGCTCGATATGAAAGTATATAATATACTCTCTCCGTTCTAGTTTATGTGAACCTATTTTCTTTTTGGTCCGTTCCAAAAAGAATGATCCTTTTCTAAATTTGGAAACAATTTTACTTATCTTACAATTCTACCCTTAATGAGAAGCTTTTATAACCACACAAATACTCTGGGGCCCTTTTTGACTTGTTTAGGACCACAAATTTCAAAAATCTTCATTTTTTCTTAAACTCCGTGTCCAGTCACACAGTTTCACATAAATTGGAACAGAGGGAGTATGGATTTCTTCCAGATTTGCGAAATCATTCTTCTGCTTTTCTAAGTGCCCTTTAACTAGAACTAGAATGGACACAGCCACTTTTTGGTTCACGTGAATATATATATNACACACAAAATATCTAAGCAACATATATCTCCCTCATATAAAACTTTATTTTTATTTTATGTGACAGTATTTTCTTCTTAGTCTATTCTAAAAGAATAATACTTTTTATATTATTAAACAATTCAAATTTAGACTTCCTACTATAAGTTAAGGTCATGCTTATAGCCACAGAAATCTCATGAATTTTAATATCACAAGTTGTAAAAGTCATTTTTTCTTTCATAAACTGTCTCCAGTCAAGCTGTATCATATAGATATTAAAACGAAACGAGTACTTTAGATAAGTAAAATTATATCATGTCAACATCAATACCCTCCGAAGGTGGGAGATTCTTTTCCACGACAGAGTAGATAAAAAGAAAAAAATTAACTGTTATTCCCTCGGTCGTAATTTATGTGTTATACTTTACATTTTAGTCACAAAAGAATGTCATACTTACGAGGTTAATTTAGCTTTAAACTTCTCATTTTCTAATGAGATTAATTATAGCGACACATATTTTTATGAGTTATTTTGGATCAAGAGTTTTAAAAGTTATCCGTTGTTTATCCTAAAAAATGGATAACAATTAAATTTATAAGCGGTTTTAAGGATACGCGGATTAATTCAATACAAATGATGAATTGCGTTAGATTAAACAGATAAAGGATGTAATAAATTGTCAAACTAATTAAAGGAAGTGATCCCGGACCTAGTAACAGCTTTAATGGAATGCATGCCTTTGATCTCGGGCGCATGTTAATGATGAATCGATGAACAAAAGTGAGAACTCTGAATAACAGAGAAAATAAGAGTATATTGCCTTGATATGCGTGTTACCATGTCCCTAATGAATAATCATATCTCCCTTTATATAGTCGGAGAGTTTTACCATAATTACAATTTCATAAAAGGTAAAAATCTTCCGTTTTACTAATCACCGATTATCTTCCGTTTTACTAATCACCGATTTTCTGCCGTTATGTGCCGAGATTCATGCCGTGACATCCGACTGGTCACGGATATCACGACCCTTTGTTAGTCATGCTTGATTATCTGGTAATTCTCTCCGAAGTTTTTGGGATTCGAATCGAACCTGCGGGGTCGTAGACCCGATGATTCTGAGGGCAGGTGTTTTGCCCGAACTCCGACTCGAGGGTTCCTTGCCTCGATTTCGGTTCCTTGCAGTCACGTCTCTTGCTCTGTTTTCTTCATCGAAAACCGAGGCATCCCATGGGCTCGGTTTTACTCGTATATAGATAGTCCCCTCGTTTCTTGGAGAGTAAGTTTACAAAAACGATGAGAAACGACATGTGCACTTCGATTCCTTCTTCAATACACTGTGACAGAAACGACAACGAATCTGAAATGTCCTGTCAGTCATTTCATTATGACTTCAAACGCGTGTCAGCCATCGGCATGTCATCCCTGGAAGTGAAACGGTGCAAAGCCTCTATAAATACTCCCCTCCTTCGTTCATTTTTTACCTTTTGACCAAGCTTCTACCTTCAAGTCTTCAGGATATCACTGACCTTCTCCGTATTCTAATATTTTTACCTCCGTTCTTCAAGATTTCTCAGTAAATTGAAAGCTTTTACTTATTTTCTACCCAAACCAGCTCACTTGACCTTTTATCTTCCAACCTTTCTTCATATTTTTCAAGCTTTTTCAAGATAATAAAGGCTAAAACTTCCAAAAATGTTCCCAAAAAAGTTGATTCATCTTCTTTATAACCGACCGCCGAAGTCGAGGAGCCCACTCCCGATGTGATCGTCCTCGAGAGATCCACTCCGGGCACGGCTACCGATGCACCGACTGTTGAGCCTCCCTTGAAAATGTTCGTCCCCGAGGGGTGCTCGATCGCAGATGACTTTAAGGTCGAAAAGCCCTCATCGGTGCAGGGCCAATGTGAGGCGGTATCTAGGTATATTTGCTCCATCACCGAAGACGTCCTTCCTGTATTTCGTAAGGACTGCAGCTGGGCAGATAAGGATATAGTTGTCCCCGGGCCCGAGGATGCCATTACTACCCATGTGAAGGGGTATCTGAGTATTTACACTTTTTCCATCACATTGGGCCCGGTGGACCCGGTTATTCTACACTTCTGTAAGAGGTATGAAGTATGCCTCGGTCAGATCCACCCGTCGCGGTAGAGGATCATAATCCTTCTTCGATACTTCGTGAACAAGACCGAATCCCGTCGGTTTACCACCGATCACCTTCTCCGCCTATATAGTCCCCGAATCTTCTGAGGGGGACTGATAAAGCTCACACGTCGGGTTAGCAAAGCCCCATTCTCGAGCATCGATGAGGACCGGGATCGGGGCTGGTAGGGACCCTTTGTCCGGGTGAAGACCGCATACTTGATCCTTTCCGAGCTGATACCATTCCTCGAGAAGTGGAATGTATTGCATCAGCACAACTTTCCTTAAATATCAATTTTACGTTCATCTCCTTTTACCTCACTAGTATTTGTGGTGGTCCAGCCGCTGCTCAAGTCCCAAACACCATCCCTAGGTTCAAGGAGTAGATCAAGGGCATCTGTTCGCATATGCCTTATTCCGAGCTCACATGGTGCGATCTCTTGAAGGACCGTTGGGAGGCCCGTTCTCATGGTAAGATCTCACTCCCGAATAAGTAACATTAGGCTCCCATTTTAGCATCTTATTCTCATTTCCTCTCTTTTCCTTTCGCAGGCTTGCCTAAGACCACTGAGCTTAGGCCTTTGGCAGGGGACGAGGACCTGCCTATTGATACCACTACTTTGGGGTAGCTCAGGGCTATAGCAGGAGAGAAGAAGAAAAGGAAGGCTCTGGGTTGGCCCGTAAGCCAAAGGAGAGTTCTAGTTCCCGAGCACCCGACTCGGACTCGCTTTATCGGCTCAGGGATGAGCCCGAGTAAGATGATATTTTTGTGGCCCGTAAGCCGAACTTCCCCGAAGAGCGAGCGGCAGCCAAGGGGAAAACAACAGAGGCTGATCCTCCTCAGGTTTGGGAGGCCTATATAGAGATAAGGGCTGAGACCTCTCGAGATACCGACTCAACTTCGCCCGGTGTCATAGAGATTTCGGGGTCGCCTTCATTCACTGAGTCCATGTTTGACTAAACCCGAGCAACGAAGGGGCGATCCAACGAAGGGGCCCGTGGAGCAGACGATCCCCTTCGTTCCTTTTTCGAAGGTGTGGACTCGACTGCTATGGAAGACTTCTCCAAGTTGGGTGACTTGGAGGTATCGAGGAAAGACCCATCTTCAGAAGTCGGCGGGTTGAACTCGATCCCAAAATTAATCAACCAGTTCTCCGCCCCGAGTGTGGATCCCGGCCTTAAGAGGTCAATAATCATCACCGTCTCGGAGGATGCCCGGGGTCTTTCTGCCCCTGTTGGAGTAGAGAGATACCTCTGGTGCCCGATAACCAAAGAAGACCATGCGAGAATGAATGAGGTGTATGTGTCGTGCTTGTTCAACGAAGCGCAGCAGGCGCTGAACCGGGTAAGTGATGTTTGGCATATTTCGATATGTGTTGATGTTACTTTGCCCATGTTTTAACCACTTTTTGATGTTATTCAATCTTTAAAACACCCAACGTAGTGTAATTATTGGTTTGATGACTAATTAAGTTATGTGTGACGATTTAAGGTGTTCGGAGTGCAAAATATGAAGAAAAGGTGGTTTAGCCAGAGGAAGAAGGGTTGGATGCGTCGCATCCAACCTAGGAAAACATCA